CAATACAGGCTCTGCGGGAAGGTGTGACCAGGATGTTGATCTACGACGTGAGTCGGATCCCATTCAAGAGCCATGAAATTGTAGCACACACCGCCTTTAAATCTCCATGGACTACGTGATTTTGGTGGAGGTATTCCAGGCCAAATGATATACATATCCAAAATCTGCGAAAGTGCGAGCTAACCGTAGTTTTTGGCGGGTGCGCTCACGAGAGAAATGCGCTCGGCTTCAGACGCCGATGTTCTCTTCAAGAAGTCGTGGATATTTCCGTTTTCCATCCATGGTGAGACGAGACAGGCGTTCGTCCCAGTAATATAGTCCGAAGAACGGAAGTAGGTTTCGGTAGTCATGCCTGTTATCTTCGCCTTTCACCAGTCAAGACTGCTCGCTTAGCCTAAATTCAGCTCACTTGGAAACTCTCCAGACCTCCCCTCCTTCGTTTCTTACCCATACAGTATTTCCTACCTCGAAAACAATTTTCGGGCTCGCTCGCACTCGTCAAGTTTCAACTTCGATGCGATATTTGAATTTCACCGAGGTAGCACGGCATTGACAACGGATGTGTATCTTGAGACGCACTCGTAAAGCTCGCTCGATACCGGGATAAAGGGCATCCGACGGGAAAACTGTGCTGTCTGCGGTGATAGGACTCCTTGTGTTTTTTCCAGTTTCTTCCACGGTACTCAGCAAGTTTGCATTGACGAGATAATGAGATATAATAACCTGTTCGGATCCTAAATTACTGTATCAACACCACAGCGATTGTCTGCTTGAAGATTGGCAAAGAGAAGGGATTTACTCTTCTCAACCGTTCCCGTATCCACATTCGATGCAACAACACGAACGTGAATAACCAACTGGCAGGCTAGAATGGAGTGCATCACCCGTAACGGACTGTCTGGCCTATCAACCACATGCTTTCACCAGAAACCAGCAACACCTACGTGAGCCCAAGTAATTTGAACTCGGTCTGATCAAAGCGCTTGCTTAGCAACTGGATTACATGATTGAAGAGCTGGAATTCACCGGGAGGCCACTTTGAAGTACCACAATGAAAATGAAAAATGCTACAAACCACGGTTGGTGAGAAGAGAAATTCGAGGGACGTGAAAGCCTCACCAAGTATGGCTACGTAGAACATGATCCCTGAATAAAATAAGTAACTGGAACCTAGTGTGTTCTGCCATCTAGACACACCGTCGCGATAGAAACTGTTCATAAGCCGTGATGAGCGAAAAGTCCCAGCGACCCCCGCTACTTTATAATGCACGATTTTCCATAACGTCAGCAGGACTATCACTGCAATCTCACTATTAAAGGGGTGATCTATAATGTGTATTTGAACAATCACCGGTCTCCCCAATGAGCAGGGACACATAGCAGGCGACCAGGACACGTGAACCTTCAACAAGATCACAGGGCAAAAAAACTAGCACGATTATATCAGAGACGGCAATTGATCGTGCATTACTACTTACAATTGATGTCCATGACTACTGACTTTGACCAAGTTATTGTCGCCCATGTGCAAATTCCCCCGACTGACTTGTGTGTGAAGATAATGGTGAATCTTGGTGTGGTCGGAATGAACGTGACAAAAGTGCTCACCAGCCAGACCACCACGCAAAAGGTCAACACTTTTTTCGAACTCCCGTAGAGTGCGTACGTCCGAATGATCAATATTACTGTTTCCGAGAGGCAAACCGGTCAAGAGAAATTTGCATGAAAGTTATGCCTACTCTCCGTCACGCCGATACCAAAAATCGAGAATACTGCGCAACATCAGACAACCAGCACCATTGGCGCCTTTTGCAAAGGCATTCACCTGTGTTGAATTTGGTAAGGGTGTTGCAGCTGGTGGGGGAAATACCGAGAAGAAGGTCCGTTATCAAGCCCCCTCCCCCTGCCACAGTGATTGAGTTTGAGTCAAAGATTCAAATTAAATATGGTGGATTACTTAGCACGGTGATTGTGGTGTCGATGAAGGGCCCATATCTCGACCAAAGGTACAGACATTTAATCAAACTCCACTTGGATTTCCAGATATGGTGGTACTGCGAGAATTAAACAACACTTCAGTTCGTCGAGGTACTTGAATAGTGCACACCTCTTCACTAATGTTCAGCAGCACATCGTAACTCTGGTAACGGTTAGCTACTTTTCTCACAGAAATACCACTTCGCTGACCAAAAGCGTCAAGAAAGCAACTGCACGGCGCGCATGGTCAGAGCGCTCGATTCTGCGTGGCCAGAAAACGCAACGCACCGCTAACATACTTAAAACATATGTCAAGGTCAAACGGAAGCTGAGGTGCAGACAGGACTCACAGAAGTAGTCAAAGGGGCAAAAAGTAGAGGATTGGATGGAAACCCGGGAAGGGGCATGGCTACGGGATGGCAATGAGAGCAATGGGAAGCGATTCAAGCTCCATGGCTTATATATAATCCAGACTAAGTAGAACACCGCCCCAGGCTTCCAGATTATCAGCATCATGTCTGTAATGATTATAGCCTTGGATACTGCGGGAGAATATCATAGGGCGGTAGCTCGAGGGAATCGGCCACAGCACATAAGATCTCTCTCACCGCTCCAATCTCCTTACCGTGATGCTGGGAGTCACTGTAGTATTTCGAGCAAATGTTCACTGGGTGTCACCTGTCAAGGTTTTCATATTGCGAGCACAATGTTCAGTCCATAATTGCCCCCTACAAATGATTAATTCCCAAAGGCTAGGGACCAGCTAAGTCCGCTTGCCATTCCCTGGCTCAATATCGTATGGAAATTCTGTCCCCGCAGCCGGTTAGCATACAAGGATTTGGGACGCAGAGAAAAAAAAGAAAATCGAAAGCCTATTGGGCCCGGCTTGCTGCTCCTGGTTCTTTAAACACATCAGAGTTACAGCCGTACACCATACACTATGTCCCCTTTATTAACTCTCCTTGCTCTGGAATAAATTGCCTGATTTTCAGGGCAGGTTCGAATTTTCTTTTTAGAGCCGCGGGGAATCGAATCCCGACTTGCTGCTTTCAGCAGTTCGTAGACCTCTCTGTAAGACATGCAGCGGTGCACCATACACCACGTCCTTTCCACTTCATTTGCTTGCTGTGGAATAAATTAAAGAATTTTCTGGACGCCAGGTTCAAAAACGTTCTTGCCGCATAAGATATTGGGAATCAAACCCCAGCTCGTCGCTTTCAGCCTCCTCTCGGTAAGACATGCAGCGGTGCACCATACACCACGCCCCGTCCCTGTTATTTCCCTGCCATCGAATAAATTGAACAACTTTATGACGCAGGTTCAATTTTGATGTAAATCGGGAAGTGCAGCGCAGGTAGGGTGTGACGTGATGGCGTAGAAAATCTGGAATGAATAGGTGGGCTCAGAGCTGAGAGTAGACCTTAAAGGCGGCTTACGCTTACGCTTAAGATCATGTGCTGATCACATCATAAACCAAACATCGGTCCGAGCCTCGCCGAGTCTACATGATCAATGATGCCTATCTAAAAGCCCGTTGATGAGCACGACCTTCTGGCTGGTAAAAACATTGACAGTTGGCTCAAAAAGATCATGATCACTGTCAGTGACCTACCCCTTATATTTCAGTTTGTTTAAAATCTACTCGGAATCATTATGCCCTATCTGCAACCCCGACAACAGGGAGCGGAATCCCGACGACAACGCCGACGAAGTATCAGGCGTCGGCCACAATGGTTTGGTTTCTGATCTTCTGATGTGATCAGACATCATGATCTTAAGCGTAAGCGTAAGCTGCACTTAAGGTCTACTCTGAGCCCACCTAATCTAGGATGAAGAATACGTAATAGCGTGGGTTGATAGTCGCTGGTGCTAAGTCTGTGAAAGGAGGAAGCCACGAAGTTCAGCAATTAAATCAATTAGTATTGGGTATTTTTAAGTGCAAGTACAGCATCACATATGCGTCGGTCAGTTCATGGGTTAAAAGGTCTCCAAGAGTTGTTATATTTCCATGTTGCTAGTGCGGCTTTGTGTAAATCTTGTCTTGCCACTGTGTTGACAGGAGCACTTGTGTCGAAACATGCAGGTACATCAATGCCATTCTTAAGCACCTTTACACAAGTTGAACCTGAACTTTTGAGTTAGCAATCCAGTCGACTAGGCCGCCTGGCGCACGGATCCAGTGTGCTGAATGTTATGGTCTAAAAAAAACGAATTAAAATGGACCTTGAAGTTGTTAGACTCTTCTATTTTGGTTCTATTTGAACGGGAGTTGAATCCGGATCGGTGAAGTGGAAGATGTGGTGTTATCGCAGCAAAAGCAAAGCTGGCCTTCAAGAGTGCTGACTCGGACTCTTACGGTCGTGTGCGTTTAATTGGGGTGCTTGGGCATGGTCAATTTGAACTCTGATTTAATGGTAAAAGGTCTTACGCTTTCATTCTTTCCCCGACTGCTGTGATCATCAAGTTTCCCATTTTAAATAGTCCCAAGAATATATGCTTCGCTCTTTTCCCGACTGCCATGGTCATCAAGTTTCCCTATTTAAATAGTCTCCAAGAATATATGCAGCGACTCCAAACCATTTTAAAAAGTTGCGGTGCTTGAGAAAAAAAAGTTGCGCACCTCAAAAGAAAAATTGCAGCAACACGAATGGTGCCGCACTCTTTCGGAGGTCCCAAAAGGGCGTAAAAGTTGCGGCATATGCATCATATCACCTAAAATACTTGCCGCATTTTAAATGTGCATTTAGACCCTCATAAATTCAGGGCTGGGTCATTGCTTTGTTTTATTTCGGAATTCACCATATTATAGTTTGATCCACTTCACTTGGTTATTCATGGAGGAAGGAAGGACCCAGCGATGTAATGGAAATACACTTACTCATCATCTGGAATATATGTATGCAAGAGACCTCTGTTTGACTTGGGGCTGGCTCACATTTTATTTATTTGCATTTGTGTTATAAAATAACTCTGACACCCAATTTATTGAACTTGAGTTGAATGCTGGTTTTGTAAAAGGTAAGGACCCAGTGGTGTAGCGGAAACATACTTACATATAATATGAAAATTACCATGATCTATGTAAGAGATCCCTGTTCAACTCAGGGCTGGGCTGTTCTTTTTCTTTTGTGTCGGAATTAAATTTGTTCAACCAGAATTCATTTCATTGTTCTCAGGCATAGATAAGACCTGGTGGTGTAGTGGTAACATACTTGCTCAAGGTGTTGGTGCATCCCCGTGTGTGCAAGAGATCCCTGTTCCACTCAGGGCTGAGTCATTCTTTACATTTTTATCAGTTTCTAATTATTTTGTTCAGGCAGAATGTCAGTTGTTGTTCTCAGAGATCCGGTGGTATAGTGCAAACATACTTGCATACAATATAAAAGATGCCATGAAGGTATGTGAGAGATCTCTGTTCAACCCAGGGCTGGGTCATTGCTTATATTTTTGTGGTGAATTTCATTTTTCCATTGAGGTTGAGTTGAATATTGGTTTGTTGAAGCCAAGGACTCGGTAGTGTAGTATCAGGCCTGGGTCATCTTTTTATTTTTATCAGTTGCTAATTATTTTGTTCAGCCAGAATGACAGTTCATTGTTCTCAGAGACCCAGTGGTGTAGCGGAAACATACTTGTGTACAATAACATGGACAGGAATACGTTGGTGCAAGAGATCCCCATTCAATTCAGGGTTAGGTCATATATTTTATTTTATTTTTGTTTCGGAATTCATTATATTCATTTGATTATTTGTGGAGAAAGGAAGGGCCCAGTGGTGTAGTGGAAAAACACTTGCTTGTAATAAGTGGCCATTAAACCGTGTTGCGCAAGAGATCTCTGTTCAACTCAGGGTTGGGTCATTTATTTTTATTTTTATCAGCTTCTAATTATTTTGTTCAGTCGGAATGTCAGTTCATTGTTTTTGGAGATGGTGTAGTGGAAACATACTTGTGTACAATAACATGGACAGGAATACGTTGGTGCGAGAGATCCCTGTTCAACTTAGGGTTGGGTCATATATTTTATTTTATTTTTGTTTCGGAATTCATTATGTTGACTTGGTATTTCATGGAGAGAGGGAGGACCCAGTGGTGTAGTGGAAACACACTTGTTAAATTTAGCATAGAGGATGCGTAAGTATGCAAGAGCTCCCTGTTCAAGTCAGGGCTGGGTCATTCTTTTTCTTCCGTAGAACTGTTTTATTTTTGTTCAGCCACCAAAATCTCGAAGATGGGATGATATACCAAGGACCTGGTGGTGTAATGGTAACACACTTGCTCAAGGTAACTCATTGCTGACCGTGTCTGCAGGAGATCCCTGTTCAACTCAGGGTTGGGTCATTCTTTTTATTTTTCTTCCGTAGGATTGTTTTATTTATTCAACCACCAAAATCTCGAAGATGGGATGGTATTAAGGACCTGGTGGTGTAGTGGTAACACACTTGCTCAACATATATAGTTTGTGCTCTAGAATCTTTGTGCAAGAGATCCCTGTTTGACTCGGGGTTGGGTCATCCGTAGAATTGCTTTATTTTATTCAACCACCAAAATCTCGAAGATGGGTTGCAAGTAAGGGCCTGGTGGTGTAGTGGTAACACACTTGCTCAAAATCAGTCCAACACTTTCAGCTGTGCAAGAGTCCCTTGTTCAACTCGAGGCTGGGTCATTATTTTTATTTTCATTTTTGTTCAACCAATCAAAATCTCGGATGCCACGATCCGGTGGTGTATCGTAATCTACCTTGATTATCTCTGTGGCAGAAGGAGTTTAAGACTCAGTGGTGTAACGGTAACATGCTTGCTTTTTGTGGAGCATATGTCATGTCATTAATGCAGGTGATCCCTGTTCGAATCAGGGCTGGGTCATTCGCTGCTATTGTCGTCTTTTTGTGTTGGGGATGGTTTTTTTTTGTTTTATTCAAGATCTCAATACATAGTGGTGTGCAGGACTTTTGGATTTTTTGCTTTGACGTCTGCTGGACTCGCGAATCTTATATCCGCCTTTTGCGGTACACCAGTCCCGCGGCGCGTGTACCGGGCACCGGCGATTGCCTCTAACTTTAAACTGATTCACATTGCCAAAAACAGACTTGACTTGAATTCGCACACACACACCGGGTTTCTGGGTCTGCACCTTCCTCATATGTACCAAGCCAAAGGCGAAGTCCCGGAGGGTGGGCGCGTTCGCACGCCCGAGTCCCGACACCCGGCTCGTTCGCACGTCTAGCAGGCTGCAGAATGTGACGTGAATAGGACAGGATGGCGTTGACGTCGTGGGTTCACACTCAGATGGGACAGGGGAGGGGGATTGAGCGGAGTACTTATGTTAGTCGAACGGAGCGTGTTAACCAAGATTATATTTATTTATGGGCGAACCGGGGGCGTGGGCGGTACGTTGAAAGTTGGGTTAATTGGAGGAAGACAGGAAGCAGCGGAGGGTGTATGATGTTAGGAGCTCAAGGTGGATCCCGAAGGTCGAGTTCAAGCTAACGGACACAAGCACGCGCCGCGCGCCGAGGACAATTAGCAAAGCTTTCTCCGTGTTGTCGTTCCTTGCCCAGGACGCCGGTTGGTGTGTGCCGTGATGCCGCGCGCGGTCTCTTCTCCGGGGCGTGCCGGATATGAAGGATATGTCAGCGCCTTCCCACGGTGTCTCTCCCTCTCCACTTGTAATTGCGATGGACTCCGATGGCGGCGAGCCCGCGCAGACGATGCCCGCTACATATGCAGTCGACAGGAATCGCTTGTAAGTTTGTCTTCTTTCCCTCGGTGCTGTGCGTGGAACAGCCAAGCTCGAAGGGCATGTGGGGACTCCTGACGGGGTCCGAGTCCGTGGGCCTGGTTCTGGGTCCAGCCTCGAAGCTTACAACCCAGGACACCGCACCCTCCCGCATTTCATCCATACATACTATACCTCCGCTAGACCCTTGAAGGCGCACATATTGACTGACCTTTGCAATGCGCAGGCAGTACGAGCTCACCGTGCGGCAGGAGCCAAAGCAGGCGCGCATGTGCGGTATTGGGGGAAAGGGTGCGTCTTCCCCTCGCTAATTAGCCTATGAATGAATGAATGAAGCCTGATATTGTGTGTAGCGGACCGCCGCCCCATCGACCCGCCCGTGATCGTGCAGTTGCGCGTCATCGACCCCGCCGCACCGCCGGACGACAAGGCTGCCTCTTCCTCCTCCTCCGGCTCCTCTTCCTCCTCGTCCAACAACAACAACCCCACCGCGGCCGACGCCGACAAGGACCTCGCCGGGCCCGGGGCGAGCGCGGAGCCGCCGTACGCGAACCTCGCGGGCTACGCGCAGAGCTTCCTGCAGAACCCATACTACTTTATGTTCGCCAGCCTCGCGAAGCCGGACGACGATATGGAGCTGCATTGGCTCAAGGTGGGCCACCCGCAATCATCATCATCCACAATCGATGCTGATGGATGGATACATCACGCAGGACGGCCGCACGCGCTGCACGACTGGCTCCGTCGTCTCGTCCCTCTATGCCCTCAAGGACCCCACCGCCACGCCTGCCGCCACCGCCGCACCCGGCTCGCCCACCACCGGTACGTCGCTCTTGACTCTTTGTGCCCCCCACTTCGATTTTTCTTTTTTTTTTTGGGGGGGGGGGGGAGAGCACGCTGTTCTGAAGACGGAGGCGCCGCTCAATCTCCCACTCCCTCACACTCCACACCCCCCCCTCCCCTCACTCCGCCGCCTTCATTCATCCACCCCCCTATGTACCACTCTCCAAATTGCCTCCCGCCCCGTCCCTTCCTCATCGTGCCCATCCTTCCCCCTCCGTCTCATCGCGCGCCTTTTCTTCACCCTCTGCGACCCCGTTCGCCCCTCCCTTTCCTCCTCTCCCCTCTCCAACATACTAAACACCCCCGCATAGCCCAACCAGCCACCGACGCCGGCTTCTTCGTCTTCCCCGACCTCTCTGTGCGCACAGAGGGCAGCTACCGCCTCAAGCTCAGCCTGTTCGAGGTCGTTGGGTGCGTTTGCGTTTTCTTTCGTTACCTTTTTTTTGGGGGTGTGGAGGGATGCGTTTGCGTGGCGTCCGTCCGTCAATTGGGCGCTGATGCGCGTTCGTCTCTTTCGTCGCCCGTCCCATCGCCCCTCTTCCCCCGTACGTCCATAGGGCCCCGATGCGCGATTCGTCGCCTGTCGCGTCGTGTGGCCCAGACTTTTGGTGCCCGCGGACGTTTGTTGCGGGGGACATTCCTGCCATCCCCTCTCCTACCCCATCCCCCCCATCCCTCCCTCACTACTAATAACCCTTCACTACTAATAAACAAAACAAACGACTAACGTTGGCCCTCCCTCGCGCAGGAACGACGTGCGGCACTGCAAGTCCATCTACTCGGCGCCGTTCTATGTGTACACGGCGAAGAAGTTCCCGGGGGTGGAAGGTGCGTTTGTGGTTTTCTTTTCTTTCTGGTTTTTTGCGTTTTTCTTTGGCTCCCCTGGCGTAGATAAGGCAGAGCCGTTATTCGCCCTGCGGGCTGTTCCCCCGACTGCTACTGCTTCTTCGGTGGACAGGTTTTTATTTTGGGGCGCGAGAGATGGGGCGTGTTTTGTCTGGAACTGGCTCCTAGCCGAGACCCTGCGAGGCATGGCCTAGATCGACGACCGGCCGGGCCTGGCCGGAGCTAGACACCGAACTTTCTGCGCCTCACTAGGCCTCGCAGCGTCGAGAGATCGCCTGGAGCCTGAACGCGGTGCGCGCCGGCGGCCGGCGGTTGGCTGCGATGCGCCCGACCGGTCATCTGTGGCGATGCGCCTGACTGGTCATCATCCCCGTAGAGCGGTCATTGCCGTTGTGTAGTCAGACGGGATACTGTCCGACGTGGAATTCCCTTTCTCCTGGACGTCTTCCTCGCACGCTCTCTGTCCTTGTATCTTGAGCCCCTCTATCTCGTCCTAATCCTCATCTCACCTCGTCCTAATCCCATCTCACCTTATTCATACCAAACTAACCACAATCGCATCATGCCAGAATCCTCCCCCCTCACCTGCTCCCTCGCGGACCAGGGCATCAAAATACGCATCCGCAAGGACATCCGCATGCGCAAGGCGCGCGTGCAGGGCTTGGAGCGCCCGCTTGCGCACAGTTTGCCGTCGACGGACGCGGCGCTGCCGATGCCGACTGTGGTGAGTTGTTGGTTTTGTTGTTGTTGTGTGAAGGCGTTGGTGCTTGCTGCGACTGCGAGCTTGCTGATCCTGCGAGTGGTACCTGCTGCTTCAGCTATCGGTACTTGCTACTCCAGCGAGCAGTACTTGCTGCTCCAGCGAGCAGTATAGCATACTGCGCCACGGCCCGCCAGCACCGCTGACGGTTATGTTGTTCTCCAGGACCCGACCCGCCGGAGGACAAGAGCGCGCACGACAAGCACGGGGACAAGCGCCCCGCGAAGCGCAGTCGCACGGACGATAATTCTGGGGCGAGCGGGAGTGGGAGTGGCAATGGGAATAATGCAATGGGGGGCAACACGGGCGGTGCGCCGCCCGTGGGGGCTGCGTGGCCGACGGCGCCGCTGCCCAGTGCGCTGCCGCCCGCGTCGGCGGAGGGAGGCGTGCCGGTGATTGCGCCGCCGCCGCCACCGCCCGACACGTACGATGGGCGGTACGCGCCGTATGACCAGCAACAGCAGCAGCAGCAGCAACAACAGCAGCAACAACAGCACCCCGGCCAGCAGCAACATCCTGGGCAACAGCAGCACCCCCAACAGCAGCCGCACCCCGGCCAGCAGCAGATTATCCCGCCTCCGCCGCCGCCCGGATACCGCGCCGACCCGATGCCTCCTCCACCCCCGCCGCCGCACATGGGGTATGGCGTCCCGCCGCCCCCGCCCCAGTACCAGCACCCCGCGCACCCGGGGCACTACTACCCGTACGGGCCCCCGCCGCCGCCGCCGATGCATCAGGGCTGGGGCCAGCAGCCACAGCCGTACGGCGACCCGTACGCGCACGCGCACCACCACCAGCAGTACGCGCCCCCGCTGCGGTACGATTATGGGTACGCGCCACCGCCGCCGCCGCCGCCGCCCCCACACCACCCGCACCACTACCCGTACTACGAGCAGCAGCCGCAGCCGCAGTACGGGGAGTATCCTGGCGCGGTGGGCCCGAATGGGGGCCCCGCGCCGGGGTATCCCATGGGCGCCCCGCCGAATCCGAACGGGAATGGGAACAATGGCAGCAGCCTGGCGAGCGCGCCGGGGACGCCGGGGGTGGGCGGGAACCCGAATAATGGGCACGCCGCGAACGTGAATAATAATACCAACAATCCCAATGGCGGTGGTAACAACAACGGGAATAACGGGGGTGGGAATGGGAATGGGAATGGCGGGCGGCCGCCACCGCCGCCCCCGCAGCAGTATGCGGCGTACCGCCCATACGCGCATGCGCCCCCGCCGCCGCCGCCGCCACCGTATTACGGGTACCCGCAGCAGCAGCATCATGCACCGGCGGAGCAGCAGCAGCAGCAGCAGCAGGCGCACGCGTGGGGGACAC